ATTAATTTAATTTATAAAAATAATTAACTAAATTAAAAGTTGATATTATTATTTCACCTGCATTTATATTTGCAAAACAAAATAATTAAAAACAACAATTATTACAATTTTGATATTAATTTAAATAACTCTAAATATTTTTTTCGTGAATAAAATATTGGATTTTGACCAGATTTTGTCTTTAAATCGATCGAATATCTATTTCTAGTTGCAAGCTAGTAAAATATTTATGACAACTTTACGTAAACGCCTAACTCTTACGTTAATAAACACAATTATAATTAACTGGATAACAAAACATCAGTGAAATTTGTATCAAAAAACCTGAACAATCAGACAAAGATTAAATGTGTTCCGAATGACAGATATTTCTCCGAAGTATAAAAGGAGAGAAAGTGAAAGACTTTTTCATTATAAAAAAAGATATTCGTATTCAGAACTGAACCAATACTGAATCATTATTGATAAAAAATTTAAACACTTTTAAGACGGAAGGATACATTGTCAAAAAGCAAAACTGTATGCGAAACTGTATGCGAGAATATGGTACGACGTCACGTACTTTCACATAAGACTTTCAATTTCCGTTCCGATACCTTTTAGTATTTTATTTATGCCTATCACGGCATATAAAAAAGCATTATAATTAACTAGGAATAAAATTTATTATTATATCAGTCTTCCTTTCTTTGTTTTTATCCATCCCCCTTTCTTTCTTTTTCTCTTTTTTTTCTCCTCCGTTTCTTTAAATAATAGATAACTTACAATAATTGATTATAAATAGAATTTTCATCATATTATTATTTCTTTCTTTTATTCTTTATATCTCAACAAGAACTTCCTTATTAGTCTTGCAAATGATGTTTTGAAAAAATGTAGTATAACACATATAAAATTAATATAAACTAATATAATGAAATAATGTAGTAATATAAAACAAATAAAATCAAATAATAAACTAATTTAATAATAATATGAAATAAGCGTATACAATAATAATATAATCAGTTTTGAAAAATACTGTTTACTTGTAAAATGCATACAAAACATACCTGTATGTTAAAAAAAACTAAATATTCCTTATCAATGATAACTCACATTTAAATATGCTAACAGAAACCGTCTTCAAATGGACAAAATTTTTTAATTTACTTAAATTTAATATAAAAATATTTCTACATTTGCGCTATTAGTTGTAGAAGATAATTCGATTTATCTTATTGTCTAATTATCTTTAGTAGAACGACATCCAAGTAAGTTTTAAAGATAATTATATATAAATGTGCACACAAAATGATTTTTTACTATCATTGATTCTCAAGGCAATAAAATATGAGATTTATATGCGAGCGAAAGTAAACAACTTTTGTAAGGTCGTATAAATTGTACAAAGTAATAATTCTAAATATAAAATACATGTTTTCTCTATAATAAAGTAAACATAAAATTACAAATAGAATTCCATTTTACTTAAAATAAATATAATTTCAAAATATTCTTTTGCAATTACAGATAAGAACATTCTGCATAAAATCATATTTAAAAAAAAATTTTTTATTAAATTATTGCCAATTATAAAAAAATTTATAAAAGAATATTTTATATGACAATAAAGATGTTATAAAAAATTTTATTTACAAAAAATTATATTTAAAAGTAAAGATATTTTTAAATAATTATATTATCTTTATTACACTTTTGTTTTTACCACAAGTACTTTTCCTCTTTAATGTTTCAAATAAATCTTATTCGCTTTCTATCATTAGCATAGAATGCTAAGATTGATGACATTAGACCGGAAAGCACGATAGTTCAATACATGTGCATCAAGTTGATGCTATCTTATATATATATCATAACTAACAGATGCAACCGCAGGCGATCACCATTCATAACAATAAGATTGGTAACACAAGTACATGTATATACTTACACAAATATATGTACATTTTAAGGACTTCTTGCACAAAATATAATCTGTGCTATTCACGCAAAATACTTGTGTACTATCTCAAATATTTTTTACATATCTATGTATATCGTAAGATAGTATATTTTAAAAGAAGATATTATCTGTAATTAAAAAAAAAAATCTTTCACAAGTGATTTTGTCAATAGAAAAATTTTAAAAGAGGAGAACTTTTACTCTAATTCTAATAAAAATTTTGTACTAACTGAATCGTGTAGAAAATAATAATGTAATTAATATTGATGCATATGGATTTATAATTTTGTTGATTTTTTCTTCAATTCAGATTAATTTAAAGCTAGCAATACATTAAGCATATCAAATTTTTGCTATTCATTTGTTATAGCTGTATTTTTAAAAAGTTCATATTTCTAATTGCATATATTTTAATATAAAAAAATACACCTTTTTATAAGTTAATACTTTAACTGATAAAAACCAATATGATAAAATATTTCTGTGTGTTGTATTTAATTTAATTTAGATTATTTAAAATTTAAAATAACTATAATGTGATCTTAATTATAGGATAATTAATATAAATATAAAATAACAGAGATGTAAAATTAACTTATGAATAGATTATCACAGAAATGTATTTTTATATACAGTATTCTATTTATTTAATTGTAAAACGATAATAGATAGTGTTTATACAGTACGTCATACAAATAAACTGAAGCAAATGCACGTGTTTTTTTTTTTTATCAAAAGAAGTATAAAGAGAAAAACGTTAGAATATTTGCTTATACTTATAATTAAATTTATATTTGTTTCTAAACAAATTTTAAGCAAAGAAGAATTACTGATATGAGCAAAAAAACATTTATTTAAATATAATTCCTAAATTCAGACACTTTTAAAAAATTTTAAAACAAGAACAAGTATAATAGATGTGTATATTCTTACTAATAATTGCTTCTAATTGTGGCAGTTTTTATACCTTATTATCTTTTTAATTATTTTTACCGGAAATGATGCCAAAAATCAAATATGTAAAGTGAGCCTTTAAACCTTTTGAAACTTCAAAATATAAAGCTGAATATATTTCATGATAAAGGGAAAGGAATGTTCTCACGAGCAAAGCATAGGATGTGATTTTATCTCGCGCTCATAATCGTCTCGTGAAACGCGTTTTGCATTTTTGCTTTTGACGAATATTTATTTAATCTTTCTAGATCCTACCTGGTATGGGCGTGAGATAGATGATGGTCGCGACGACAGAACTCATGCCAACAAAGATCCCGAATCTGAAGAGCATGGTGCACCTGGCGGATTGGGACTTGTTAGCCGGAGAACCGCGAGAGGCGCGAGAGCGTGGAAATGCAAGTCGAGAGTAGGTACGGACTGTCCGGTGTCGTAGCCGCGGACACACTAACACCGCTCGAGCAAGTTCATTGCCAGAGAGAGAGTCGATTCTCGATTAAAAGAAAGATGTTTCAAGTGCGGAAGCACTTGCATATATGCTGTGCCGTTTACGGCCTCTCAGCACGGCAGAGATTATACATGGCTGTCCCCCAGAATGATCACGAAACCTCCTCGCAATCCTCAGGGAAATCGTGAACTCGTTGACCTCCTCGCGATGGAATCTTTCTTACTCCGAGATCTCAACATTGAATTAATAGCACGAAATACAGACGTACTGCTATTTAATTTGTACGCTAATACGTTAGCTATATTTTGACCGCATAAATTATTTGAAAATTGCCCCTATCGCGAAACATGAGAATCAAAATGGCTATGTTTTGTAATGTAATTGCATCTCTCTGGAATTTTGATATTTCTTATCATATAAATCTTATTGCATAAGTCTAAGTATTACAATTTATCATTTTTTTATATTTTCATTTTGTTATTTGGAAATCCTTAATTTTTCGCTGTTTAGAAGCTCAATTTATATTGATGAAAACTTTCTTTCGTGAATTTCGTATATATTTTATTACGTATTTTTTTATGGTTATAATAAACATTTTCTCATATGATTTATAATCACATATTTAATAACGTTTAATAATGCATCTAAAAAGACTAAAGTAATTTGCAGACAAGCTAATGTTACTTAAACTACAAAAATAAAGAAGAAGAGGAAATGATTAACATGTATAATATCTAAGAAACCTTTTATTTATTTTTCTATTTTTATAACATTTGACTATTTTCTGAATAAAATATCGATATAAATAAACCTAATAGAATTTATTTTTTATTTACTTTTAAAACTGTTATATAATATACCAAATAAAAAAGATGATATATAACTAATATTTGTATAACAAAAGTACAGTAATAGTAAAATTACAATTATAATTATATTAAATATATAAAATATAAAAATTCAGTTTAAATAAATATAAAAATAATAAATATAAAAATTCAGTTTAAATAAATAGTAATAATAATTAATACTCAGGATGTAAGATGAATATACATTAAAAATGATATCCCAATATAATGCACCGAAACAAAATGTAGCACGAATATGTAGTAAAAATAAAATATTAACAGTATAAAAAAGTAAATTAACTTCATTTTTTCAATGTTTTCTAATGTATAAAAGAAGTTTTGATGTGATTATATATTGTTACACAAAAGAGACTAGGATAGATTTAAAAATATTCTAAAATTCTGTTTTAATCAGATCATCTGTTTTAATCAGATCAGATTTTCCTAGTATACTAATCTTTTTATTAGTTTTACAAATTTAGAAATATTTTCTTCTAAATAAAGTTTATGTGTTAATATTTATCAAAATAATTGACTTTATATCGAAAACAGATAAAAGTTGAAAAATTCAAGTCTTTTCGATTTCAATAAAAAAATAGCCATATATACGCATCTATAATAATTTCTTTCATATATTTCACATATGCATTATAATTTCTGTTTAGAATATTAATGCATATGTATTTATTGTTTATATAATTATATTATTATCGTATGTGTAAATCATAAGCTTATTCATTTCAGTTGAACTTTTTTGTATTTTTTCTCTTCTTTTTCTTTAATATAGAGAGATAAAGAGAAAAGATGAATCGTGCAAGAAGTTCAGTTAAAAAGAACATATATTGCGAAGTTCATAGCGAGAGAACGTGATGGCGATATTGCTGCGAACTGAACTTGTGAATGGCTTTGAGCAGTATTGTCTGAGATACATGAGATTGCTTCACACGAAAGAGAATACTATTAAAATGATCGAAGTTACAAATCAGAATTTCAATGAGATATATCCACATTTGGAGCACGCAATGAAAAATGCGAGTTTTATAGCGATTGACGGAGAATTCACAGGTATAGAAGTGGCTAATGTAAAAAATAGGTTAGTTTGCGCTCTTTTGGAAACACGTATTCGGTTCGAAAAATAATATTAGAGCACCTTCATGATTACTATTGCAGTTTGTTCGATTCCATACATGAACGCTATGAGAAAAATAGGAGTAGTATTCAGCCCTACATAGTAATTCAATTCGGTATCTCGGTGTTTCAACGTGTCCCAGATGAGAATGTATATACTGCAGAGGTCTTTAATTTCTTTCTGCTACCCAGATCGATTTCGTTAAAAAGCAGGCAATTCCTCTGGCAAGTTTCAGCGTTGGAGTTTTTAACTTTGTATGGATTTGATTTCAATAAAGTACGTATGCATTATCTATATGCTTCATATATGTTTCCAAACTGAGGATCCAGTCTCAATTTGGTACAACACGATCAAATCGCTTTATGTGGAAATAAGAATTTACATGAAACTTACAAACAATTATGAAACCTTGTTTTGTATTGAAAACTAGGCATTGAAGCACTAGGCAAACCTATATTTATATTTGTGTATTAGGATTATCTTCTATATATGCATTACATGTTGCATCTATTATATATTTATTTCTTGTACTAAGGAGTAATTTAATATATATTTGTACTGACATGTACGACATACTGATTTCTCATGATATTTTGATTTGAGAAATAAAATTATTTAGAATACTAACTTGACTTTCTCAATATGTTTTATATATATACTTTATATATTACAAGATATATTATATTGAATTATTGAAAATGTAATACTATCTGTGATGAGAATATTCTGATCTAACCATATAACAAATATGTTAAATGTCCAATTTTACTTAATTTTATAGTCTATTATCAAGAATAAATAACAAATTTAATATGAAAAATTTTTAGCTTGCTTATCAGGGTATTTCATATCTTAATCAAGATGATGAAGCAATCTTACGACAACAACTACAGGAGAATACATTATTCAATAGTGTGGAGCAATCTATCTCTTATGTAGAAGAAGAGGATTTTAAAGACAAAGTCATACAGATAAACGAATGGTTGAACAATGCTAAGAATGAAACTGACTCATTTAAAATTGATTCTCCTACTCCAACTTTACAATATTATATGCATAAAGAATTGAGAAGATATTTCTCAAATATTTGGACTTATTCAGGGAATAATGTGGTATAATTAATTTAATATTATTATGAGAAAAGGGATTTTTGTTATGAAATTCAATTTCTTTTTCGAAGTTTTTAATATCAACTTTTCAGATAACTGTGATTAAAGTGCCATCAGAATCAAGAAAGATTTTAGAGCAGGAAGAAGGCTCTATATTAGACAAGGTATTGCTCGAGTCATACATAGGTTTTTCAAAAGTATTTAAGCTTTTGGTTACTTTACAAAAACCTGTAATTGTACATAATGGTTTTCTAGACTTTATGTTTATACATCAACAATTTTACAAATCATTACCACGTATGTATTATTATACGATGTTGGAAAATTTATTTGTTAAAATATTTTGTATAATATACAATATAGAAAATTAAATCACAATTAACTATAAATAATATGTTTTGCAGAAAAATATAATGAATTTAAAAATAACATACATAAACTGTTCCCAATAATTTATGATACCAAATTCTTAAGTTTTGAACTAAGAGAGATCCTTAAAACAGAAGGTAATTATTTATTTATTTATTTTTATAATTAGAAACTTATATATTTTTATAATTAGAAACTTATATATATTTTTTTTTCTTTTAGAAAAGTGGAAAGTTAATACTCTAGGTGGTTTAGTTCATCATTTTACAGAAAAACATGGAAAAAATGTACCGCTTGGATCACCTGTTATTAAACTTACTAGTCAAACAGATTCAGATAAAATAGATGGTAGATATCTTTTTTTCTTATATCATATACTCAATACTTTATATTATTAATACGTTATAATTTATCTATTAATTTATCTATGAATTATAATATTTTCAAATTTTTAGATATTATATCTCCTAAAAAATATCATACTGCAGGATGGGATGCTTATTTTACTGGTTATATATTTATTAGAATTTCTCATCTATTTGCTACAAAACGTTATGAAGAGTAAGTTATATATACAATTGCATGTATAATTAAAAGTCAATAATTATTCATTTCTTTTTCTTAATAAGCTTCTATACATTTTTTATCTTATGATTTTAGAAGTTTGACTTCGAAACAATTTACACATACAGAATTAATGAACAGTGTAAAACGCTATACAAATTGTGTAAACATTGTACGGGGTAGTACTTCATATATGGTAAAGAAATACAAAATGTTTTAATAAGTATTTATTGTTATTCTGTAAGAATATTTGATATATATTATTTTTTCATAAAGCAAACATAAATTTCTTAGACTTTTGATGGACCTGAACCTAAATCGACTCGACCAAAATGGCTTTACGTGAAAACATTAGCAACAAAACCGATAACTGCTTTACAGGTATTATATTTAATTATATATAATATTTTAAATATAGTAAATATTTTAATATATTATATAACATATTTAACATATTATATTCGAAAAACGAAAATTATCTTTGAAATATTGATTTTTTTACTGCATGTTTTGTTCGAACTGATATGTTAAGCACTTTCAGTGATTTTTAATTAATCTACATTATTTTGAAATATTTGCACAGATAGCTGAAAAAATGTCAAAATTTGGCGCTGTGGACGTGAAACAATATACACCCAAGCGCGCGTTAGTTGCAGTAGCAAATCATGGAAGGTTAGTAAGCTACTTTAAAATCTTTTTCATTTCTCTTATTTATAATATTATTTTTATGTTTTATATTATATATGTATAAATAACATCATTATTACACAAAATTTGCTTGTATAAAATAGGACACAACTTTATATATGTATTGAAAAAGTGATTACTGCCAACTTCGTTCGATTTCGTGATATATGTGAAAAATATCATAACACTATGTAAAAAAGAAGGGAGGGAGAGAGAGAGAGAGAGAGAGAGAGAGAGAAGAGAGAGAG